GTAACAAGTTAGCTAATACTGCCTAGCAGAAGAGAGGAGGGTCATTCAGTGATCAGCTGGGATTTCACACTCTGCTCCTTTCTGTCCCCTAGCTGAAGAGGGTCTTGGGAGTACTGCTAGGGAACACAAAATGTTCATGAAAGACTTGGTTCAAGTAATGTAGCTTGGGGCTCCAGTTATGAGACTTTGTACCCCCTCCCCTCACCAAGATGAGGCAGCAACTGAGATCAGGTGTACCTTGGCAGGAAGGAACTTTGCACGGAGGAACTTTATAGAAGTGCTAGCTGGGCACTGGGGATAATCTCATATTCTCTGGGAAACTTTGACTTTAAGGAGTTGAGGAGTCCTACTTAGAAGCAGATCATTTCCCTCATAGGAGTTACTAAACCCCTCTCCTCAAAGCTTGTCTATATTTAGTTGCCCTTTACCAGCTTGAGTCGCAGTCTTGGAGCAATACTTTATATATGTAAACTTTGTGTCTCCTTCAAATTGGTAGTAATCAAAGGGGACATTAATTTTTCTGTTTTTACCCAACCTGTCTCAGGGTTATGATTGACTCCAGTACAATTTATAGAAAAGACCTGGGCCATACTTCAAGCAGCCAGAAGTGAGAGAGATACTTCTGCTTTTAAAAAATATTTTGCTTACTATTTTTATTTTATGTGTATGAATGTATTGCCTCCATGTGTGTAAGTGCACCCATGTTGTGGCAGAGGTCAGAAGAAGGCATCGGATCCCCTGGACCTCTAGTTACTGATGGTTGCTAACTGCCATGTGGGTGTTGGGAATCAAACTCGTGTCCTCTGTAAGAGTAGCTAGTGTTCTTAGCAGCTGAGCCATCTCTCCAGCCCCACTTCTGCTTTTTTCCTTAGTCACGGTGGCTAACACAGAGATTGCGCAAAGGCTTGAGAGGAATGAAGGAAGGTGAGAGGTTCAAGCAGGCCCTCAGCAGAGTTTCTTGCATTTGCTAGCATCCTCAGGCTGGCACGAATTCCTGGGTTATGAGGATCTAAAGTAGATGTACCTAAGGTCTCTGGCCTGAATGAACTTGTTTTCTATCAGCAGAAAGGGAGGCAGGGTCGACTGCAGCTCCTGATACCAGGGGTGCCAACACAGGAGCCTCACTAGAGCACTGTGAAGCAGCAACTCCAGGGATGTGTCTCAGCCTGAAGCAAACCTGAAGACCCCATCTAGCAGCATGGTGAGTTTAGTGCTCCAGAAATCCTTCTGTGGGGAAAATCAGGAAGCCTATGTGTGAGCTCATTCTGTCTGAGGAAAGAATGAGGGGGGCGGTGGGATGAAATTGGTCTTACTAAGAACCTTCAGTCGTGTTGGAATGATTTTGAATATCAACTGATGTGGGCCACTGCTGGGTGAGTGGAGAGGGGAAACACAAACTGGGCTAGATGCCCTACTGAAACATGTAGGAGTCTTCGGGTACAGCAGCTTCACTAGAAGACTAAACAGAAAATGATATTGGCATCATTTTCCAGTGACATCAACATGGAAGTTTGAAATTGCACACACTAGAGGTAGTTCACCAAGGAAAGTGGTTAGCACTAAAGTCAGGGTGATTTTGTCCCATAGAGAGCTGGTTATTAAACATCTGCCAGTATACTACTAATAGACTGTCACCAAGAGGCTGAAAGAAAATGAATTGGTGCTCTAGTTTCCTTTCTGTTGCTGTGATAAAGCACTTTAAAAACCAAACAATTTAAGGGAGGAGTGAGTTTATTCAGCTTACAGGTTGTAGTCTACCACTGAGGAAAGTCAGGCCAGCAGGGTCTTGAAGCAGAAAACATGGAGGAATGCTGTTTGCTGGCTTGTTTTGTAGACCCAGGCTTAACTAGCTTTCTTATATAGCCAAGGATTCCCCCACAAAGAATGGTGCCACCCACAATGGCTGGACCCTCCCACATCAATTAGCAATCAAGAAGATCCCCTCATAGACATGCCTGCAGGCCAATCTGGTCTGGGAAATCTCTCAACTGAGATTAACCTTTAAGTGACTCTAGTCTGTGTCAAGGTGACAATTAAAGCAGGCTGGGACACCTTGTATTGTATCTCCCAAGCTATTTTAAATTATGCACATTTGAGCATGATGAAACCTCAATATCTGTTTACTCAAAATGTGTAACACAAAACCCTAGTGTTACATACCTTATGTGCCTTTTGGAGTTTATAATGCACACTCCCATGCTAAAAGCTCAGAAGAATTTGCATAAATAAACCTGCTTAATGTTGTTTAATTCAGAGAGGTACTTCTCAGACTTCAATGAGCATATAAGTCACTTGGGGGATTTTGTTAAAATTCAGATCTGAGGTGGGACCTGAGTCTTCATTTCTGCAAACCTGTGATGTGATATTCATACTGCTGGACCAAGGACCAAGCTTTGAGAAGCAGCAATGAAAAATCTCTCTCCTTCCTTCCTTCCTTCCTTCCTTCCTTCCTTCCTTCCTTCCTTCCTTCATCATGGAATGCAGCACTTTCTTTTTCTGGAGAATTCTTGTACTTTTAATACACTGTTGGTACACTAGTAGTACACTGGTAGTCTATGGAGTGGGAAAGTCCTGATGGAGAGAGAGCGTGGTCAGCAGTGCTGGACTGAAACTATAGTGTCCACATGGAAACGACACAGCTCTGGGACAGAGACCATGGCTTTCAGAGGAGAAGCAGTAAGGCTTGGTGGAAAATACCACCCAGGAGACAGGTGAAGGTGAAGTTCTATCCTATCTAATGCCAGGACATGTATGAGACACTGTGAGGAATAACATATGGATGGTAGAGGAAAAAGCAAAGTGTTAGCAATCACTATGAATACGACTTACAGGCTGGTAAAGCCTGGTCTAAATGAATAAATTCTCTCAGAAGGAATTGGGAACAGTTTCTAAGAAGAGGTGCCAAGTTTTGACCTGAAAGATCAGGAGAAGTCCGTTAAAAAGGGTGGAGTGTGAAGGACAGGAAAGAGAGCCTGTGTGCTGGATAGCTTTAGTGTCAACTTGACACACCTGGGTTGAGGGAGTCTCAATCGGGGAACTGCCCTCATTGGACTGGCCTGTGGCCATGTCTGTGGGGGCATTTTCTTGATTGTTGAGCGATGTGGGAGGGCCCAGCCCACTGTGGGTAGTGCCACCCCTGGGCAGGTGGGCCTGTGTTGCATAAGAAAGCAGGCTGAGCTGGGGGCCAGGGGAGCAAGCCAGTAAGCAGCGTTCCTCCATGGCCTGTCTTCTAGCTCCTGCCTCTAGGCTCCTGCCCTGAGTTCCTACCTTGGGCTCCCTGAAGAACTGTGACCTGGGAGATGTAAGATAAAATAAACCTTTTCCTCCCCAAGTTGGTAGTGGTCAGAGTGTTTTGTCACAGCAATGGAGAGACAAACTAGGACAGTCTGTGTGGTACAGGGAATGTGCCTCCTCATCCGAAGGATCAGAGGAAGCAGGGACAGGCAGGAGGCTGATCCAGGCAAGGTGGGGCTGGGGCTTGCGCATAAGCTTTCTTCTACCAGGAACCTGACTCCAGTGGAATCTGAGACAGTGTAATCATGGAGTTTAGGGGACATTTCACCCTCTTCCAAAGTCCAGGTACCCACAAGAAGGGTGAAACTGAAGGGAAATGAGATGTGGGTGGCGGGGCGGGGGGCAGTAATAGGGACAACAGGATCCAAAATAAATGAACGTTTCCCCCTCTTTAATTAATTAACTCTATGGGGGTGGAGAGCATTATCACTGTGTATGGCACAACTCTATTTAAACTATATTGTGTATATGTATACACACACACACATGTATATGTATTTAAGTAAGCTTATAAAATAAACCACAGGGAACCAATTTTTCAAAAGAAATTATTTGCCATATCAGGGAACCAAATTCCATTTAATGATTTCATGTTATTTTTTTTCTGATTCCTATAGACAAAATCACACTTTGAAGGTAGACTCACTAGTATTAAGAAAGTAAAGGCAATACTGATACCCCCACCAGTGTATCTGAAAAGTGCCTCAGTTCATGATTTTCTTTTGTTTTGTGTATAGAAAGTTCATGTAACCACTTCCATGGTAGAACACATCATTGTTGAAACCTGAGTTCATATTCCTGGGCCATAGTTCCACAAGTTTGATTCGGAACAAACCACTGCTCATTCCCTCTGGGGAAAAGGTAATAGAAAGGCTTCCTCTGGTTTCACATAAAATTTACTGTATGTGAGATCTGACAAGTCAGATGGTCTGGCTGGATGAACTTATAGAGAAGAGAACAGAGAGGTGGCCAGTGTAGACTGCGATGGGCCCTGTCACTTTATCTCCAGCCAGCCTCCTCTGTTGAGGTGCCTATTCTTCCTTCAGAAAGCTCTACGCCCCTGAATGACATCCTCTTTGGGGCCTGTACATGCTATCTCTTGCCAACTGTAAGATCTCTAAGGAAAGAACCTTATTGATGATGTAAATAATCAAGCTAATATTTATGTGCCCTATATTAGCTACTTTACCCTTCTTTGTAACAACATACCTAACAGACACAAGGAGAAAGGATTTGTTGTGGCTCATGCTTTCAGACTGCACAGTCCGTGTTCTCCAGACCTTGTGTGCTTGGGTAGAACATCATCGTTATTGAGAGCCTGGGGGTAGAGGAGAGATGTTCACTTCACTACCAAGCAGGAAATACAGAATGCTGCAAAAAAGGAATAATAAATCCCAAGGAACCCTTTCCTATGACCTACTTCCTCTAGCCAGTTCCCATATTCCAAAGTTTATGAATTAGCTCCACTGGCTGGAGTTGGAGTATAAGTGTGAAAATCATGAGCTTGTGGGAGATGATTCAGATTCAAACTACAACATTCTTCTTTGCTATGGATTGAATATACTCTCCTAAAGTTCATAAGTTAAAATTCTCTTCTCTAAGGCGATGTTATTAAATGATTCAGCTCTTAGGAGGTGATTGAGTCATGAAAGGAAGGCCCTTTTGAATAGGCTAGTGCTTCTATAAAAGAGACTCTGCAGTTTCCTCTCTCCCTGTGCCATATGAGTTCACAGTGAAAATATGGTCATGGATTTGGCATCAGGAAGTAGACCATCACTAGATACTGAAACTACAAGTGCGTTGATCTTGGATTTTTCCAGATTCTAAAATTGTGAAGAATAAATGTCTGTTACTTATAAGCCACCCCATCTACAATAATGTCTATCTCCAATTTCTAAAATGTTTTCTCCTTTACCTCCATATCAGCTTCAAAAGATACTATGACTGTTACAAATTTATGGAGAAGGAAACCAAGTTTCTGGAAGGATAAGAGACTTGTGAGCATCCTACAATGAGGTCTTCTGACAAAACCCAGTGCTTTTCTTCTGCATGATAAATCTTCCTGGCTCAGCTCTAGAGTTCCCACAGTGTTTTACCCTGACACATCTTTCAAGACATGACTCGGTGAGTAGTTTCACATCTGTTGATCCTTCATCCAGAAATTGTTCTAGAATTTATACTTAAACGATTAGAGGAAAGTTGACAAGAAATTGGAAATTCTTCACAGTAAATTTACAGCTTGACTTTTTTCAATTATCTATAGCTTTTACAATTAGAAACTAGTGTTTCAGCGACCATTTCACTGGGATTTCATGGTAGACATGGTCTCTGCCCACAGTCTAATAGGATCGAAGATCACATAACAAGCCTCAGGCATTGAGCTCAACATCGGTTTTCATTTCAAAGTCTCACCCACATGTTATCACCTGCCTCTGTCCATGTGAGATCAGCTCTGTGCTTGTATCTTCTAGATCTAGATAACCTTTAAAATATAGGTGCCA